GTCAGATGAGATTACAATCATAGGTTACGAGCATCAGGTCCATTCTGCCAAAGAAGCCATACTGAGGATTGTCAGGGAACTGGTCAGTATATCTTAGTATAACTCAGTATATCCCTGTACATATTTCACCACATGTACATGTACATGTACATCTCAGTATATCAAAGTGTTATATTTCATTGTCCTAACATAAACTTGACACTTTATTGACAACTTTAGCAAATACCGTTAACATTCTCAGTATATCCCAGTATATCCCAGTATACTAGTATTTATCTTATCAATTCTCCTTATGTCCTTTACTGTCCTTTGAGGAATCAAACTGAAACCTAATTACTGTCACTTTATCAGTATCAGTCCGTAATTTTATCAACTTTTATCAGCTCAGGCCTCTCTCTGGAGAGAATAGGGGAACACTTGATGTCTGTATCCTACACGATAGCCTCTCTTAATGGACGGACAGCACCTAGTGTACCAATTACATTCCTTACTGTATAAAATAACCTCCACATAAAGGACACCTCTGTATAACAGAGACACAGTGTCCATTATAGCAAGGCTAGTCTGTACAGTAATGATGGATACCTTCAACTCATCAATAAAAGATTAATAAGCTCTTGCTACATGTACATGTACTGGCCAGTCCGTGTGTCTTTATGCGTGTGGGTGGTTCAGATGTTGTATATTTAAGTAATTTGTTTGTTGTGTTTATTAATATATATGATTATATAATACCCACATCTGAAGCACCCCACCCCACCCCACATGTACTTATGATTACACTGTACCTATACCTGTCCTGTCTGGAGGTGTGTGTGTGTGTGTGTGTGTGTATAAGTAATGTAATACCTGAGGACTGAGATATCTGCTTGAGGTGAAGCTGAGGGCAGATATCAAGGGACTCAGGTATTACATTACTGATACTCACCTCCAGACACACACACACTCACACTGGTCACTGTACATACATGTATAGTGTACATGTACATTTATTAGCAGCAACATTGTAGGGAAAAATTGAAAAATTGGGAGTCAGAGTTAGCAGGTGGTATATCGTTATTATTATTATTATTATTGCTAGAGCAGTTTAATTATGTTGTTATTGTTGTAAACTTGATAGCTGCCATTAACACTCTCTCAATGTGCCTAAAGACACTATCACTGGACCCTAAGTACACTGAGAGGATCATTTGAATATCAACCACAGCTGCTTTAGTCTATCCTATTAACAAATGGACTTTATCCACATGTGTAGCCTTAACCTTTGTAATGAGGACACCTTTATAATGAGGACATTTTGTAATGTACCAATTGGTACAAGCCTATACCTCTGAAATGAGGACACCTCTGTATTAAGGACAGGTAGTGTGGGCCCAATGGTGTCCTCAATAAAGAGGCTACACTGTACATGTATTAAGGACCGGTAGTGTGGGCCCAATGGTGTCCTCAATAAAGAGGCTACACTGTACA